CATTTATCTCTCTCTCTCTCACACACACACACACACACACACACACACACACACACACACATAGCAAAATCATTGAGTCATTTCTTTATTATATTAGTTATTTATTCTATTTCTATTCTATATTTTCATTATTTCATTTCATTATATTTTCATATTTAAATAAATAAATTCAGTCATTAAAATAATGCAGTCGCAAAAATACAGGATGTTTTTTTTTTTTTCAAAAGTATAACTTTAATTATAATTACTGCATTTTTTAATTAGTTTTCTTAATTACTGAATAATTACTGTTGGAGGAAGGCAGACTCTCTCTGTGCTGGATGAATTAGGCCCCATTATCACCGACTTCAGTTATGAAAATGAGAGTCATGGGCTGTATATACTTGTATGTATTAATCCTTTAATCTTTGCAAATTGCAAAATCAATGAATCCACATTTAATCATTATATTATTTGTTTATTCTTATTCTATTTCTGTCTATTGTTATTTAATGTACAGTATTAAGTAAATAATAAATCAATTAATTCAGACATCAAAAGTAATGCAATATTAAAAATACACGTTTTAACACACTTTATTTTTAATTTTTTTTTTAAGTAATATTGAAAGTAACTACAAGGTTTTATTTATTAACATTAGTTAACTACACTGGTTTACATGAACTAACAATGAGCAATACTGAAGCATAAATACTAAATAAATACTAATACCAATAAATACTAAAGCATTTATTATTATTAGTCACTGTTCATTTCAACAATTAGGCTACTAATACATTTTAAAAATCAAAATTGTTATATATGTCAACATTAATTTGTTAACATGAATTCACTGTGAACTAACACGAATAAACAATGAACAGTTATATTTGTACTAACATTAACAAAGATGAATAATTGCATTAAATATATATATAGGCCTATTTCTCATTGTAGTTTATGTTAGCTAATGTATTTACAAATTTTAACAAATTGGACCATATTGCAAAGTGATACCCTGATTTAATGATGTAAATATTTGCTGTCAGTGTTGGGGAGTAACTAGTTACATGTAACGGCGTTACGTAATTTAATTACAAAATAAATGTAACTGTAATCAGTCACAGTTACTAAGAAACAATGTGTAATTAAATTACAGTTACTTATGAAAATGTTAACGATTACAAAGGGGATTACATTTGAATATTTACACACATCCACATACAGATTTAATTGATTTTTTCCCCAAATTACACTGACTACTCTGAGACATACCATTCATTAGAAATTTAGAAAAGTAATCAAAAAGTAATCAAAAGTAATCAGTTACATTACTTTAATAAAGTAATTGAAAAAGTTACACTACTATTACATTTTAAGTAGGGTAACTTGTAATCTGTAACCTATTACATTTCCAAAGTAACCTTCCCAACACTGTTTGCTGTCGCTATATATTTATTTATTTAGGATTTGTATTCGTTTTATTTCGGCAGTTAACTTTCTAGTCTCTACTCAACAATACATTACTGTAGCTCAGCCGCACCAACAGAGGTCGCCAGTTAAACCAGCTGCGCTCATCCTCTGCGCATGCGCACGTCTCTTCTCTCCCCGCTGGATCAAACTGCTGCTTGTCCGCGCCGCCGAAACGCCGAGCCGACAATGGCACAACTGGTGGGACCTCTCCGCAAAGAGCTCGCCGACTCCCTCTCATCCTGCCGGGTGCTGGTGGTCGGGGCGGGAGGTATCGGCTGCGAGCTGCTGAAAAACCTGGTGCTCACCGGCTTTAAGAATATTGAAGTGGTAAGTTGGAGGAAGGCGGACTCTCTTTGTGCTGCATGAATCAGGCCCCATTATCACAGGTCCTCATTTATAACATTCTGAAACGAAAATGAGACTCGTGACTTGTATAAACCAATGCATTACTCCTTACATCACGTATTTTATGAACGTTTTGCTTTTCGTTCCATCGCAAACATAAACCAGTCCTTTTCTTTCGCGCCATGTTCTGTGTCGTACAATCAATCTCCCTTGAAAACATTGACCAATGTGGCCACACTTCACTTCAAGTTACCATAATTATTATTCGAAATAAGTGCGGTTTCGAAAAAAGTATTTTAAAATGAACATTTCTTTAATATTCTAAGTATGGTATCAGACAAAGATTACATTTAGTTCTAACAAACAGCATCTTGTCGTCTGTGATACCGCTTCTACTATGTCCTTGAAGTAACAGTGTTGCTAGTATTATAGTGTTAGCTATTAATCTTGTGCACAGGGTTATGAAACTGCAAGCTGTTTATTTAGCAGGATAATTTAATGCGGGTTTTTCTACAAATATGCATACTATATATAATATATAATATAATTTAATCAGTTGGTTACTGTTCAAAATCATGGTAACAGGGTTGTGGTAAGATTGTAATCTGACAAATGTAACAAGCATGAAGTGAAAAAAAGCACACACTTCATTGATATTGAAGAGTTTATGACCTGAAAATATTATGTTGATGAGGCTATCAGTGTTTTTATGTAGGCTATTAAGTGTTACAGTGGCACTAGGGCTGCACGATAAATCGCATGCGATATTTAATGCGCATCTTGTCAGTAAAGCCGGTTCTGTAATCAGCGGTAAATCGCCATCACGTGCGGGCTTTCACATTGAGCAGCATTAACTACACAGAGCCGTTGTTCACTGACGAGCTGCGCAAAAAATCGGTAAATAATTTTGCAGTAACTGTTATGCTGATGTTGTGGCTGGGCAAGCAAATGTTTGTGCTTGTTTCTGTATGATATAATTGTTCATATATCTATTAAAATACTGATATTCTGGTCTATAACTCCTCCCCGAACTTCCCGCTGCCCTGTATCTTGGTCTCTCATTGGCTGTAGGTCATCGCCGATGTGTTTTTCAGTCAGAACTCATTTCACACAGCGTGATTGTGAATCGCCGACAGCTCCAGATATTTAGCATGCCAAATATTTCGCGGGCGTTGGCGACGCATCGGCGATTCCCTCAGATCGCGTCTTTGATAATTCACACTGCGTGATTGTCACTCGCGTGAACGAGCACCGATTTGCCTCTGATGTCGGGCATTTGTCGGCGATTTCGCAAAACCTGTCGGCGAGTGAAAAATCGGGCTAAAATCGTGCAGTGTGAACTCGGCATAAGTGGCACGCTACCGACTTTTTAGGGTGTCCTATTTTGGCTTTAAAATGCATGGTAAAAATAAATATCCAAGTAATAATAAAACTGAAAATAATATTAAAATATACAAAATGTGGGAAATGCGCAATTGGCAGTTGATTTTTAGTTACTAAATAATAAATAATGCAAGTAAACGCATTGTTTAATTATGGCATTTTATACCATTTAAAAAATTGTGCGTTACAATGGCACACAACCTGGGGACTTTTAGGGACCCTTTAAAATGCATTGTGGTTACATGCCAGCATTTTGCACTTTCTTTAATGATTATAGTGTAGTATTGTTGTTGTTTTTTAAATTATCTTCATAGTGTTTAGCTTTTTTTAATTATCCTCATTTGCAGATTGACCTGGACACCATTGATGTCAGCAACCTCAACAGACAGTTCCTGTTTCAGAAGAAACATGTTGGAAAGTCTAAAGCTCAGGTAAACAGTAGAGCCCGACCGATATGGGTTTTTTGGGGCCGATACCAATATTAGGGAGTAAAAAAAAGTCCGATACCGATATATTGTAATTTACACTATTTACTTTCATTCATTTTAATGAGAAACCGGTGAATAAAGACTGACAGTCCATGTTTAATGTTTAGAAATTATTATTTCAAGACATGTTAAGCATTTTTGCTCGTTTATGTGGGCCGGGACGTGTTGGGACAAACATGGTTACAAAAAATAAATAAATAAATATATTATATATATATATTTATTTATTTATTTATTAACAAAATATTTTAGTTTGTCTTGTATATTTTTTTCATTCGATCAGATAAGATTTTAAGCTGTCATATGGTCAAGTTACAACGTGCCCCTCGCAAAACGATATATCAGTCGGGCTCTAGTAAACAGTATAACTGACTTCAACATGTGTGATTTAGAAATCTGCATCAGACAATGATTTATTACCGTGTTTCAGGTTGCCAAGGAGAGTGTGCTTCGGTTTTGCCCATCTGCAAACATCACTGCCTACCATGACAGCATCATGAAGTGAGTCCAGTTACATATTATCAAGATAAAGACTTGGTGTATGAACATTTGATAGTGCATTTCAAAAGTTAATTTGTCTGTGGATACTATAGAAAGCACTAATTCTAAGGTCAAAAACTTTGAGGTCCAATGTTTTTTTTCTTTGCACTTTGCAGCCCAGATTACAACGTGGAATTCTTCCGAAATTTCCAGCTTGTCATGAATGCTTTGGACAACAGAGGTATGAATTATTTAGCCGACTTTGATAAAAGTTAAGGAACGCTACATTTCTAAAATGTCTTTTCTTTTGTCCTTTGCAGCGGCCAGGAATCACGTCAACAGGATGTGTTTGGCCGCTGACATTCCCCTCATTGAGAGCGGCACGGCTGGCTATCTGGGACAAGTCACAGTTATCAAGAAGGCAAGGCTCTTCTATTAAATCAGCAACTTTTTTTTTGGCACACGTTGCTGTATTCATCTCAATGTCACGCTCTTGGCATTCACATTTTGTAAATTTGCAAACTGCAGGGTCAAACGGAGTGCTACGAGTGTCAGCCTAAACCCACGCAGAAAACCTTCCCAGGTTGCACCATTCGCAACACTCCCTCAGAACCCATTCACTGCATCGTGTGGGCCAAATATCTCTTCAAGTAAGTTCTCTACGCTAATACGTCTCGTTGAAATGCTTAGTTCTGAATTTTTGTGTAATTTATATTGTTTTTCATGTTCAAGGATGTCGTATTTTTAATATTAATGCACTTTGCACAAACAATACTGAATGTAAGGGAAAATCCACAGCTGTGAATTAATGATTGTGTGTGGGTAAATTACCTGTGTCTGTGCAGTGTGTCTATAATAATAATGAAGCTGCAAGTTTAATTACTTCAGAAGCATTGTGAAGTTGTTGTAGCCTTTTAATATGCTATTGAAGCTAGGCCTGTCACGATAACAACTTTTTGTTGTGCGATATATTGCCCCAGAAATAATTGCGATAAGTGATATTATTGTCATTTTAAAGACCATTTTATGCCACTGAATATATAATCATAATGTAACAGCATAAGGCAAGAAGGCCTACACACTTTCAAATGACAACGAACTTTTAATTTTTAAGAATATTTAGATCATGGATTCTATTAATATCATGGAATTAAGTATCAAAATATTAGATACCTTAAAAACCTGAATAAATGGTAAATAAACATTTTCTAACAAAAAGTGCAAAGTAACAAGTAGAAAAAAAGAAAAATGCACAAGGAACTTGTATGGAGATTTTTCCATCTACAGATTTTTGACAACAGATCATGACAACACCACGTTATGTACGAGAAGCTGCAAAAGACACGGGCACAAGTGGAATGTACAAAACATGGTGACATAAATGTTTAAGTAAATATATTGGGCGATATATTGCCTCACCAAAAATGATTGAGGTCATGTACATATATTGCACGATAAGTTGATATATCGATTATTGCAACAGGCCTAATTGAAGCTATTTTATTAATAAATATCGAATTGATAGCATTGACAAGTTTTTGTGCTCCTGAATGTTTGTGTATGCACAGTGCGGTCTCTGATGTTTGTGTGCTTCAATGCAGTGCGGTAGTATAGAACGGTGATTAAACTGACAGGGCTTTCCCTAAAAAAAACACATCAAAACCACCAGTGGTCGACCCTTTACCACCACGGTGGTAGAAAACTCACCATTGCAGCACTAGTCTCGTCACAGTGGCTGCACTGATGATATTCCTAAACTAGGGCCCTATGAAATCAATTTTACTTATCCCCAAATTCTGTTTTTATGATTTCATTAAAGTGTGTTTTTTGTTTTACTTTTTCAGAAGTATGTTTTTAATAGTTTTAATTAAGTTTTAATAATCAAAAAGGATATCTAATCAGTTAAATTCATAAAACTAACAATTTGATAATTGAATAATTTATTAAAATTAGCAATAATAGGGCACTATGAAATGCAAGTCCCCCCTCCCCCAGATTCCTTGTTTTATGATTTAATACAAATATATCAAAAATGGTGGAATTTAAATTAATTCATAATACTTTACCAAAATAAGAGAACAAATTTTAACATTTAATTTTTGTTTTGGCAAACAATGTGCTGGCCTGCACAACAGAGATTTCCAGTTTAAATTGAAATGTGGATGAAATATTGTGTGGTATTCCTTAAAAGATTGTTTTAATAAACTGTATTAATCTTATTGTTAATATTACTTTGAGAAGTACGTTCTGCTTTACAATAGTACAATATTTCTGTCATAATTTCTTTAAAGTGTTTTTTTGGTGGGTTTAGTGAAGAGTTTCTGTGTGTATCTGATGATAGTTTTATCAAGTGAAATGGTGTATGAATACTATTAACTTGTATTTGAAACCTAATTTAATTATTGTCATCCGCTTACATGTCATTTTGGATTGCCTCCCTAGTCAGCTTTTTGGCGAGGAGGATGCGGATCAGGAGGTGTCACCTGACACAGCTGACCCTGAGGTTGCTTGTGAGTAGTCGCACATTTACAACAATTTATTTACTACTTCAATGGTGGACATTATTTATGCTTAAATATGCTTGGATGAAAAATACATGTGTGATTTGGTGTATCAAAGGCGTAAATTTGTATCTTTTATTTAAGGATGGAAACTTTCTGTCAAGTATGTACTGTAAGTTTGAATTGGGACCATTTGATGAAAAGATGTGTCTGGGATGTTCATTGACTACAGGGAACCCCGCAGATGCAGCAGCCCGAGCTACAGCCTCCAATAAGGATGGAGACATCAAGCGGGTGTCCACTAAAGAGTGGGCTCGTTCCACAGGTTATGATCCTGTCAAACTCTTCAACAAGGTGCAAGTTCTGTTACAAATGTGACACTACTTCATTACCAAGTCTGTCCTTTTAGAAATAGTCTAAAGGTGATCTTGTGCTTCCTTTCAGCTTTTTAAAGATGACATCATGTATCTTTTGACCATGGATAAGTTGTGGAAGAAGAGAAAAGCCCCATTACCACTAGACTGGACTGAGATCCATCAGCTTGGTGTGTGTTTGTTCGGGAATTATCTGTACATGACCAGCTTTGGTTATATTGAAAATTAGCCTCAATGTTAATGAGGCTGTGTTGTGTGTGTGTGTGTGTGTGTGTGTGTGTGTGTAAAAGAATCTTCTCAGGAGGAGGCCTTTGGCACAGGTCTGAAGGACCAGCAGGTGTTGGGTGTTCAGGGTTACGCTCAGCTTTTCCACCGCAGTGTAGAAACACTCCGATCTCAGCTGATAGAGAAGGGTGAGGGTGCAGAGCTAGTCTGGGACAAGGTGAGAAAACTCAAGCAATATTCCTCTCATTTTATTGTGGAACTAGTAAGCTATGCATATTTAGGCCCCGTCCACACGGAGATGCGTTTAGCTGTATACGCATACATTTTGTATCGTATTGGTGTTTCATCCACACGGATCCGGCGTTTTGGGAGAGTGAAACCGATATTTTTTGAAACCGGGTCCCAGAGTGGATAAATCTGAAAACGCCACCCTTGCATTTTCGTGTGGACAGCGAATCCGTATACTTTCTGAAACGATGACGTCATCAGGCCACGTCTCGCCCCTATTCAGACACAAAAACATGAACAAACACTGAACGATTGTCTTTTTATTAACTAACATTAACACAGATTAATAAATGTATTGTTCCATGTTCGTTTGTATACAGATCCATCAGCTTGGTGTGTGTTTGTTCGGGAATTATCTGTACATGACCAGCTTTGGTTATATTGAAAATTAGCCTCAATGTTAATGAGGCTGTGTTGTGTGTGTGTGTGTGTGTGTGTGTGTGTGTGTAAAAGAATCTTCTCAGGAGGAGGCCTTTGGCACAGGTCTGAAGGACCAGCAGGTGTTGGGTGTTCAGGGTTACGCTCAGCTTTTCCACCGCAGTGTAGAAACACTCCGATCTCAGCTGATAGAGAAGGGTGAGGGTGCAGAGCTAGTCTGGGACAAGGTGAGAAAACTCAAGCAATATTCCTCTCATTTTATTGTGGAACTAGTAAGCTATGCATATTTAGGCCCCGTCCACACGGAGACGCGTTTAGCTGTATACGCATACATTTTGTATCGTATTGGTGTTTCATCCACACGGATCCGGCGTTTTGGGAGAGTGAAACCGATATTTTTTGAAACCGGGTCCCAGAGTGGATAAATGTGAAAACGCCGCCCTTGCGTTTTCGTGTGGACAGCGAATCCGTATATTTTCTGAAACGATGACGTCATCAGCCAACGTCTCGCCCCTAGTCAGACACCGCTACATAACGTAACAGCAACAAAAACATGAGCAAACACTGAACGATTGTCTTTTTATTAACTAACATTAACACAGATTGATAAATGTATTGTTCCATGTTCGTTTGTATACCGCGCGCAATATTTATGCATGTAGTCCAAGTCTTCTTCTCCGTTTTTAGTGTATCTCTGGCAGAATTATAGCGCCACATACTGGTCTGTCATGTATACTACATTTTGTGTCGGTTTCGTGTGGACGCAGATATTTCGAGACGAGGGGAAAAAAAAGATCGGATAGGGAAAGCTCTGGCTTCGTGTGGACGTAGCCTTATACTAAAGTATACTAATGTTTATAAATGTAATTAATTTATATAATTATTTTTAATTGATACTTATTTAGCAAGGCACATTGTTAAAATGTTGTCTAATGTAACATTGTCTAATGTTAAAAATGATTTCTATTTCAAATAATTATTTTTTTGTACTTTCCATTCATCAAAGAATCCTGAAAAAAAAGTAGAGAAAAAATGAACTGATGTTCAGTGTGAACTCACTTTATTTGTGCTGCTGTTTTCAGGATGATCCTCCAGCCATGGACTTCGTAACAGCAGCCGCGAACTTGCGCATGAACGTCTTCAGCATGAACATGAAAAGCCGCTTTGATGTCAAATGTAAGGATGTGTTTGTAAGGCTGTATTGTTGCTGTGATTGCCTTGACTTAAATTATTCAAAATGATCTTTTTAGTTGGTGTTTAAAAACAATAAAAGTGTATTTTTCAATTGTCCCATTTTTAGCTTAATAAAGTTTTTTTTTAATGCTTTATTCACCAAGAATTAAACTTCAAATTAATGTATTATAGCCTTATAACTCATGGCTTTAAAACGAATAAACAACATACTTCGTAATAAAACGTTTTAATAAAAAGTTCTGAATTTTAATGTGGCTTTTGAACTATGTTTCCTTGTCATCTAGCCATGGCAGGAAACATCATTCCAGCAATAGCCACCACTAATGCCGTCATCGCTGGTCTCATTGTTCTGGAGGCGCTGAAGACTCTTAACTCAGACTTTGACCAGTGTCGCACGGTAAACTTGCAGTGTTGCTCCTTTCACGCCCAACACAACTTTGACGCCTGAATTGCATCATGTCCTGTTTTATCGAATACATTTTTCCATTTGTTTTTCTCACTTGATTTGAGGTAATTACATCTCAGCAGTAGTTTCGGTTGTGAAGACCTTTTTAACCTTTTCCTGTTTTTGAAAGTCTTGTCAAGTGGTATAGGTGGGAGTTATAGGGCTTGTCCAAATACTCACACTTGCGGTCTTTGCATTTGACTGCTTGCGTAATGTATTTCCTGTAATTGGCCCAAGTGTTCAAGTGAGCATGAAGACCACAAGTGTGTGTTGAACTTTTCAGTACCCAATGGGGACACACTTATAGTGTTCTAAAAATGCAGGTGTTTACAGAGTTTTATTTTGATTTTCAATACGTTGCATTTAAAATAAAATTCTAAATCTCTGTCCCTATAACATATTACACAGTTTAGTAATTGTGGTGCTTCTAATTAAGTGATAAAAAGCAGTTGCAAATGTTGTACAGAATACACACTCATCTTTGCATCAATAAAATGTTCAACACTTTGTTTTACTACCAAATTAAGTGTAATATCTAATTAATTTTACACCAGAAGGGTTTCCGTGAGATCTTGGCAAAAACTCTCATGATTTATTTCCAGAACATGATGCATGATGGGATACGCTTAGCCTCGATTACTGCTTCAGAGAGGTATTTGGGATAGTGTGGATTTAGTGTGCGTTAAGGGCACTACGCTTTGGCATTTTTAAGACCTGAGACAGTCTTGCGCACTTACTACTTGTTGCGTGCACGTGCTCTCAAGTGTCCAAGACTGCAAGTGTGGGTATTTGGACAGGCCCATAGTCTTATACTTGTTTTTTTTTCATAACTTCATATCCAGAACACGTAAGTACCACACTTCATATTTTGTGAATGTTTGCAAATCGCCTTTCTGAATGTGCTTGTTAGCATGCTGTACGGCTAATGTGGCTAAAGTTACCATTGTCTCTGACTCTATTCACAGAGACCAGAGCTGTCATTATTTTTAAGAAGCAATAAATGTGTGTTTAGGAATTCTACAGATGCTGAGTGTTTTCAGCTTAAAAATGAAAATAACAGGGTTCTGGTCTCTGAATACAGTAAGATACAACATGCCAACAAGCACTTTCAGAAAGGTGATTTGCAAACATTCACAAAATAAAGTGAGGTTCTTGCATATCCTGAATATGAAGTTGGATTACGAACAGTTGGTATTGGTCCATCTTTGAGAATCAACTTTTGTGCAAGTCCTGCATTTTAATGACCCTCGTTTGCAAAGCAGTCTCAATGATCTGCACAAACATATACGAATTTAGCTGTTTTCTTGGACACATTCCCTTCATATAAAAGACTTTGTATACTCCCGGCCTCTGAGCCACTAAGGACGCAGTGGATAAATTAATCCACTGCGTCCTTAGTGGCTCAGAGGCCGGGAGTATACAGAGACTCTTGTGTTCATTATTATAGCCAACAACAGAACCGTTATAATGTTTATGTAGTGGAGACTGCTCTAGTGGTGATATATACATGGCAGACTGTCCGGCTCACTCGGGGTGGGATCTATGCTAATAAGGCAGATCATCACCAGTCGTGGGCGGGCCTTCCCAACGTAAGAGTAGGGAAAAATCTGGAACCGCTTGTTTGGGGAGATTGTTTATGATTTATGGGCATTATAAATAAAGGAGTGGGCGGATTTTTTACCATTATAGGCTGATTGTTTAGACACTCTGGATACACATCTGTGTTCAAACAACTTATAAAAGTGAATTTTGCATAATAGGTCTCCTTTAATGTTTTTGTCTCTCTGTTTCTCTACAGCAAACAATAACAAATTTTTGTCTGACTTTGGGATTCGGAACGGCAGCCGTCTTCAAGCAGATGACTTCCTACAGGATTACACTCTTCTGGTCAATTTAATTCACAGGTCAGTGTGGCTGCATTTAGCTACAAGGATGATACTTTGGGTTTCTCGAATATTAAAATGTATCTTGCATTTATTGCAGTGAGGAATTGGAAAAGGATGTCGAGTTTGAAGTAGTGGGTGACGCCCCAGATAAGGCGCCTGTATCAAGCGTCCCGGAAGAAGGGAAGAACATTGCCAACGGTAACAAAGATTCTGCCCAGCCATCTACCTCATCTAAAGGTAAGAACAACATGGATTGCCTGCAAAACATCAGTCTTTAAAGGGAATATTTCACCTGAAAATTGTATATGTACAGCTTGGACATTCAGCCTAAACATCATATTTTGTATTTCACGGGCGAAAAAGTTTCACTGCTTTTGATTAATGTACTTTTCTCATATTTACAGCAGCTGCAGAGGACGATGATGTCCTTATCGTAGACTCCGATGAAGAACCGTCCTCGAGCACCATGGAAACTTCCCTGGAGTCTAGTAACCGCAAGAGGAAGCATCACGATGCTGATACGGATGATGCTGCGTCTAAGCGCAAACGCCTCGACCAGCAGCCGGCCGATGATGATGAAGACATCATCGCTCTAGACTAGCAAAATTGACAAGATATCACCTGTCCACAACAGAGGATTTTCCTCCAGTTGAATTTTTGTACGGTTTCTCTTACCAAACATGTAAATATATCTGTACAATATGGTTCAAGCTCAATGGATGTCGTCTTTTCCTTCTGTCCTTTGTTTTTTGGGAACAGAAAACGGCTGAGTTATGAACTGCACTCACTTAGGTTTTACTCAGATGGATAAAATGCTTTTCAACTTTGTATTTTTTACGATGAGTGTGTCTATTTTGCAGTGGTTTAGAAAGGCTGACAAAAGTGCTCACGGTATTTCAATGCATTTTTTCATCTAGAAAACCATATTCCATATTTATTACAGGTTGTTTTTGTTACCAACCTCAGTAATATTTCTGATCATCGAATTTTACAGTAACACTGTATTACTGTATGGATAGTATGATGGTTTGTGTCTTCTGTTGCATTGCTTTATAACTACAATGAAAAATATTGCGACTTTTTTTTTTTTAAGAAAATACACTCAGACAGCTAGTTACACCGTTCTTTCATTCTTATATTTTTAGTCTTTAAGCGGTATAAATGAGCCCATGCTTTATTTACTGACCAAATTGAGCAGCTGAATAAACTAGAGCAGTGGACTAAAAAAAGGTTGGGAAACACTGAACTAGAGTATCTCATTTAACCTTTATTTACCATGAAAGCGTGGTCTTGAAAGGGCACAATGTCCTAATTGCACGTTGTTTACATTAGAATGTTTGACGTAAGAACCTTCCGTTTTCACTTCTTACTCGCGTAGATGTCGGAGTCCACCGTTCACGTGGTATTTGTCGTCAGAAAGGTTCATCTAAGATGCTACATGACACATTAACCCTTCCTCTAGGTGGCAGGTCAAGTAAGGTGCAAGTTATTGTCTACAGTGGCAAATTTTGCGGGCAATTGCCAATAGTTCATTTATTTGGTCAAGATACTTGTTTACATTTAGTCATTTAGCAGACGCTTTTATCCAAAGCGACTTACAAATGAGGAAAACACAAACACAGTTTTCCCGTGTGATATGAGCAAATACTATGTTTGCAAAAAATATATTTTACACGACGAGCAAGTAATGCCATCGTGTCCATTCGGAGCAATTTTCGTTTCGCAAACGATGAAAAACGCAAATAAATGTGTGCGTCTCTACCCTAGGACTCCACGCTCAGTAAATGGCCTTGGCCTAGCCTTTGGGTATTGAGATGCATTATAGGATTGAATGAGTGCACTCGGTAGTGTCCACTATGGGTACACTACCACAAATTTCTGTGCTTTATTGCACTATGTGCCGGTTTTTGTTCACGAATCGGTTCACTTTGTTCTGAAATCACTTTCGGACAGTTCGAACTCACTGATAAGTTGCGTTTTATTAAGACGTGTTTGTTGTAGTGATGTAAATGATTTTAGTATTATTTATTGTAAATGCAAATTATGTTTAAGCTCTAAATGAGTTTTATTATGCGTTTGACAAACTGTACCGGGACAGATTATTACAAATAATTAAAAACACCATTATTAATTAAAAAAAAATCGGAAAACGTAAGAAAACGCATTTGTTTATTTATTTACACAATAATGGTTACCATTATTACCCAGTTTATATATAATATATGAATGGGTAATAATATTGTAAATAAATTCCCTGTCTTGAATGTGACATCATAGCCATAGACATCATCTCCACGTGTCCTGTCTCGGCCCTCCTCTGCACGCCCCTCAGTGGATGAAGCTGATTGGATTGAAGCTGGACACCCGACAAACCCCAAAGTGGACGTATCCTCCATTTTATCCCCTTTTACTGGGATATTTAAACCTGTCTGTCCACATGCACGTCATTTTCGTCCTTCTGTCTTGACTATAAACAAAAGCTGAGTTTTGTGAAACCCAGACAGCTGGAAACATCTAGATCTCCATTCGGAGTTTGGTGTGTGTTGTTAAGTAACGTAGCCCTTACCTTCATCAGTAGCGCGCGAGAGCAAGTTGGGTGTTGTTGGGACAAGTTCGGCACGAGAGCACACGCGAAAGGACAATATTTCACATGCCGTGGCGTGACGCCTACGATTAATCAATATTTGAGTTTTAATCCGAGCCCAATATAATTAATTTTTAGATTTTTAGAGTAAACGGAAAACATCATGGTGACACTGGCAGTGATCGTAGCGCCTCTCGGTCGCCAGATCCACAGACATCTGAAGCATTTGAGAAGCCAGCGCTGGATACCTGCTCGGGCATGTAACTTGTCTGCATGCTCCAGCAAATTAGTTCTCAGTCAAGGTTAGTACATTTTTGCTATACTTTTTATTGTTATTATTATTTTGATTTGGTTCATGGTAAATATCCCACCACCTTGTCTTGGTTAGTGGTCGTTTTGTTGGACTATGTGTGCACTATTTTCACCACTAGGGTTTATTACAGCTGTTGTAATGTCCTTTATAACTGGGTTGATGATTATGCAGTCCACAATGTCATTGTCAGCGAAAACGCCTTCCTGAATGACTTCCGGGTTTTGCGTGAAATGGAATGTTTACAAGAAACACGGCGGTAAATGATCACTGCATTGATTGTTTCAGGGCAGCTGCAGTAGTTTATCATGTTTTGATGGTAAATGAACCTTGGGTGTTATCATTATGGATGTATTAAACGAACCCTATCCGTTTACTTAGGTTTTACATGTTTCAAAAGTCACTGTTTTTCCGCAAGCCCCGCCCATAAGAGATATGGGGCATGTTTATATCTGCAGGACACTTCATTGAAAACGGCCCTGAAGATGCAATAGTCACATGAGACCGAGTATGTCTCATTAAAGTTTTTTTTTTCTCCGTAAGAGCTTTTTAAAATAGTTTTATCACTTTTTAGTAAGAGTATGTTATTTGTTGACGGTTACTGATAAGCAAACCAAGCAAAAAAAAAAAAAAAAAAAAACTTTAAACAGGGTAAAAAATGGGGCCTTTTTTCTTGCATTTTCAATACATTTTCATTGAAAGGAGATCCTTGAGTAAATGTTCAATGCCAATCAAATTTATAATTTACGTAATTTTTGCAAGAATGAGTTGAGAATGAGAATAACAAGGTTGTAAACTTAGACTAAACTAAGCTGTCACTCAGTGGGAGTAGTTATTTATAACCTTAGATTTGATCATTTTTTGTAATCATGCTGTAAGAGGTTTGCACGCAAGACGTATACCATACATATAACAATGTCATATTCTTGAATATTAATATAACTGTTATGTGTACTCCTATCTTTACCATGCGATTAGTAGCACCTTATAGCTGTCATTTGCATTGTGTAGACCTTATCTTATCTAAACCAGATTGGTTTATCAACAAACAAAGCCAGTCTTTTCCGATTATACTTTGAAAGCCACATAAAAGTAAAGAACAGTTGAAGTTTAATAAGTAAAGGTTACATACAATTAACCTAGTTGTTAAATGTGGTCTATCAGCTATGGTTTGGGGAAAGAACATAAGAGTAAACTTTTTAAATCAAGTTTATTACAAAAGTTCATTTTAATTTACATTTAATCAAAGACTAAGCTTAAATGAGTGTCTTTTGATATTTTATAATAGAGTTATAGTTAGAACCCATGCTGTGTTTGCTTTCCATAAAATGGGTCAGCAGAGTTGTAATCCCTCTTTGCTAGACCACTTAGATGGCTGACAAGAATTATAGTAAATGCCATTTTAATCTCATGAAAGGCAGTTGGTCACATTCTCTGACTGCTTTAATTCATCTCCTTTTGTAGAATCTGTAGCATGTGACCACAATCTAAGCAGTTATTGTGTAAGACGAGCGTCTCGCTGTATAAAGGAGCTCTTACATGTTTGCTCAAGGATCACCTATAAAATTCCCAAGGGAATGTATTCATAAAGGTGGCATAAAACTCTGCGGACTGTCTTCCTGTTGAGCTCTACAGTCAGTTTTTCCCTGACATTCCACATGTCAGTTTTTTTCTTTTTTCATTTTTTGAAGCATCGAGTCACAAAAGGAAGCATATTTTCTTTGACTTTCACTTCTCTAACAAGTTCCAGAAGGACGGCTCGTCGGCTTTTTGTCCTGCTTTGGTTTTCTTTTTGTTGCTTTTTTTCCCTGTTTGGATTTTAAGCATTTAGAACAAATGTGTAACTCATCGCATGAGGCTGCACTTTGTGCCATAAAATGTAGGTTTATGTGTTCTATCTGTCTGTCTGTCTATGGATTCTGTATGCTTTGATATGTCATGTTTGTAGTAAAAACTGACATACAGTTTCTGAAATGTGGTGTTCTTTTTAGGTTGTTTAAAAAACTGGATTTTGCCTACGTAGACAGCATTTTGGAGCACCATGCTTGCAGTTGCACATTTTTGATGACCAAAATGCTGCCTAGATCACTAGATTTGTCTGGTTCCTTGTCCTGACCAGTCATTCTCTTCCCAGTGCATCCGATGTGGCAGGAGCCGCTCGCCATTCCCGGTGGAGATCGCCAGTCACCAATTGACATTGTGGTGCGTAAAAGCATCTTTGATCCGCAGCTCAGACCCCTGAAGGTGCAGTATGACCCAAGGACCTGCCAGCAGATCTGGAATAATGGCTACTCTTTTCTGGTCGAGTACGACGACACCACTGACAAATCCAGTAAGCTATCTTCATTGTCTGTACTACAGTTACTATAATAAAACTATGTTGACTTGGAATTTACAGCTACTATCGTTACTAAAATTAAAGAAAATAAAATGACACAAAATGAATGGAAATCTTCCCATATTAATTTATTCTGATTTTACAATAGTAAAACAATTTCCAGTGTGACAGTGTGGCTGAAAAGAACAAATTAATGGTTCTGTGGTGTGAGAAAACTGTGAACTGAAATGAACCTCTTTTAGCTCTGAAAGGAGGACCACTGGAGGATCAGTTCAGACTATGCCAGTTTCATTTTCACTGGGGGGAGAACAACACCTGGGGCTCTGAACACTCCATAGACCGCCGCCTTTACCCTGCTGAGGTACCTTTATGCAGGATTTTAATATATTTTTAGGACTTGTGTAACTATGAAGAACACAAAATCACTCCATTACTTGGTCATCTTTTTAAGCCGTCTGTATGTCCTTTTTTACTATAAGAAAGTATTTCTCTCTTGCGAACAGACAGAGCTTCTCTGTAATAGAGGGCAGAGACTTTACCGTTAGGAACACCCCATTATTTCTATTGTGGGATAGTCACATCGATGAATAGCTTGTTTGAACATGACGTCACGTCACTGTGTTGCTGTGGCGCGAAATGCAGATGGAGGGCAGGAAGTCATTTTCTACATAGGAACCACTATCACAAACTCAAAATGCGTATGTTTGCATCGTTTATAATTGCTCAAATTGCTCAAACTGAGAAACCACAAGGAGCTTTTTTCATGTACTAAATGTTGTTGTTGTTCATAAGGGGGGAAAAAAGCAAGAAATTGACTGAAAAATGCAGGAAAAAGTGGCTTGTAAACCTGCGTCTGCGGTCGGGAGGAGCCGAGTCAGATAATGCCCATGTGTGCAAATGGTTAATATAAGATATAATAATGTATTAAGATACTAATGATATATTAAGATTAGTGGTCGACTGGCAAAAAATGTTTGGCAGTTGTTCAAATATCTGCATCGGGTGATAAGTTTTCCTGTTTGGCTGATGTGTTGCTGAGAACGTCAGTGCCTGCGCACACAGCGCTCACATTCTCTCTCTTCATTGTTTGCTGTCGCCGTTTAGCAGTTCTGTCTAATACGGGTAGAAGTCTGTCTAATAGTCAGATATCTTCTCTAGAGATGCGCAATCGACAAACTTTAAACTCCTGATTTCAAACTATGCTGCACTTTATCCATTTGCCCACTGTCATATTCATGTCATTTTCACTGTGTGCTGTATGTAAAATGAGTGTTACCTTGACTTCGTTTGAAAAAATATGATTCCCAGTGCACACAGACTTCCCAGATTACTGAGTGCCCTGTTGTTTACAGCGTTTACTTCCTTTTTATTTATATATTTAAAAATATATATTTCTTCTAAACACCACACGACAATGTAAATAAGATATTCATTTTGCAGTTTAGAGAGCTTCATTGGTTTTAACGGAACATTGTGAGATTGCAATAAATTGAAGTGAGTGACAGCTTTTTAGTGATCATATGGAAGCGCTATTTGCTTGCATTCTAGGCTAAAATCAATTCAGAATTTGAATAAAAGTTTTGTTTTTCCTGCTGCTAACAGGACCAACGACCACATACCCTGTACATGCAGCAAAGCTTCAGGAGTGACATACAGTGGGTACGGAAAGTATTCAGACCCCCTTAAATTTTTCACTCTTTGTTATATTGCAGCCATTTGCTAAAATCATTTAAGTTAATTTTTTTTCCTCATTAATGTACACACAGCACCCCATATTGACAGAAAAACACAGAATTGTTGACATTTTTGCAGATTTATTAAAAAAGAAAAACTGAAATATCACATGGTCCTAAGTATTCAGACCCTTTGCTGTGACACTCATATATTTAACTCAGGTGCTGTCCATTTCTTCTGATCATCCTTGAGATGGTTCTACACCTTCATTTGAGTCCAGCTGTGTTTGATTATACTGATTGGACTTGATTAGGAAAGCCACACACCTGTCTATATAAGACCTTACAGCTCACAGTGCATGTCAGAGCAAATGAGAATCATGAGGTCAAAGGAACTGCCTGAAGAGCTCAGAGACAGAATTGTGGCAAGGCACAGATCTGGCCAAGGTTACAAAAAAAATTCTGCTGCACTTAAGGTTCCTAAGAGCACAGTGGCCTCCATAATCCTTAAATGGAAGACGTTTGGGATGACCAGAACCCTTCCTAGAGCTGGCCGTCCGGCCAAACTGATGGTGAGAAATAAGATTCTCTGGTCTGATGAGAGCAAGATAGAACTTTTTGGCCTTAATTTTAAGCGGTATGTGTGGAGAAAACCAGGCACTGCTCATGACCTGTCCAATACAGTCCCAACAGTGCAGCATGGTGGTGGCAGCATCATGCTTTGGGGGTGTTTTTCAGCTGCAGGGACAGGACGACTGTTTGCAATCGAGGGAAAGATGAATGCGGCCAATTACAGGGATATCCTGGACGAAAACCTTCTCTAGAGTGCTCAGGACCTCAGACTGGGCCGAATGTTTACCTTCCAACAAGACAATGACCCTAATCACACAGCTAAAATAACGAAGGAGTGGTTTCACAACAACTCTGTGACTGTTCTTGAATGGCCCAGCCAGAGCCCTGACTTAAACCCAATTGAGCATCTCTGGAGAGACCTAAAAATGGCTGTCCACCAACGTTTACCATCCAACCTGACAGAACTGGAGAGGATCTGCAAGGAGGAATGGCAGAGGATCCCCAAATCCAGGTGTGAAAAACTTGTTGCATCTTTCCCAAAAAGACTCATGGCTGTATTAGATCAAAAGGGTGCTTCTACTAAATACTGAGCAAAGGGTCTGAATACTTAGGACCATGTGATATTTCAGTTTTTCTTTTTTAATAAATCTGCAAAAATGTCAACGATTCTGTGTTTTTCTGTCAATATGGGGTGCTGTGTGTACATTAATGAGGAAAAAAAATTAACTTAAATGATTTTAGCAAATGGCTGCAATATAACAGAGTGAAAAATTTAAGGGGGTCTGAATACTTTCCGTACCCACTGTATATCCCGCATCTGTCATATACATGCGGGATTCACTTTCAAAATAGCTTGTTTGCAGTCAGGGTTAGTTGCTTAGCCTATATCCACCGCCTTGATGGCAGGCAAGTATTTCAATTTAGTTTAAAAATCGCTCCTTTTCTTTACTTAAGGATCACGTGCAATATATGTTGTGATTTTGTTTATACCTTTCTCTTGTAATTGTGTCTAAACCAGTACAGTATGGACTTTCCTCCATCTCATCCATTCCCTCCATCTGAATTTCGCGCATCATCAGAATCATGTGACTGCAAACAAGCTATATGTGGCAGTCTAGGGGTGGGCGATATGACAAATCTTATTTAACTGTATAGGAAATTTTATTTGACGATAATATGGAAGGATATTCCGGACTGTTTTCAAAAGGAATTGCAAATTATATTTTCTCAATGTCCAATTTGTTTAATTTGACCCATTTTCAGTGTTTGAAAACAAAATGTTTGTCACTTTGTATACAGCTGATACTTATTACATTTAAAGGGCAATGTCTGAAGAATATATATTGTTGAAACTAGAATTGTAGCTTTCCCTCTATCAAAACAGAACAAAAATGTCTGAGTGCAAAAAATGCACTAAAATGGTCAAGTTGAGGCACATTACCTTGCTCTCAGTAGTCTATTCATAAGATTCTATATTTGTATCCGTTTCAGGGATATTTGAAATAAGGGATTTTATTCATTTTAACAGCTTCTGAAGCTACATAGTTCAGACATGCAGTATTGTAACTATGTTTGAAACAAATCCCTCACCTGGAAGTGTGGTTGCTTTCTCCATACATTGTATTCACATCAATAAACCAAAATAGTTGCCTCACCTGGATTAAGTATTACACTTTCTTTTTCTTTTTTTTTTATTGTTATAACATGTGAAGTGGAATCTAAAATCATATTAAGATATTTAAAACTTCATGAGTTACAGGGATGCAGACTTTGGGGAAAAAATGAAATTCTTTGCACTAAGACAAGTGTGTTCTATGCAATTGTCTTGATAGAGAAAAACAAGATCCATTTCTACTCTCTATTATTTGTTCTTCAGACATTGATCTTTAAATACAAAAAGGATCAGCTTAATGCAAAGTGACCATTTGGTTTTCAATAATTTAAAATGGGCAAAATTCAACAAATTGGACATTGTGTCACTTTGGGCTCCCCATATCTCTGGGATTGAACAATATAGGGCCTTAAAAATGAAGATTACAAATGAAAAGTTTATTGAGAACCAGAATTTAAAATGATATTAAGATATTTTTAATACTTCTTGAGTTACAGACTTGCACACTTTGGAAAAAGAATATTTATGGCACTCAGACATGTATGTTCTATGCAGTTGTTTTATTAGAGAGAAACCAGATACATTTCTAGTTTCAAAGTTATTTATTCTTCAGACATTCCCCTTTAAATATAATAAATATCAGCTGTATACAAAGTGACCAACATTTGTTTTCGACCTAAAAATAGGTCATATTAAACAATCTGGAGTCATGGAGCCGCATTGAGATCCCCATGTCTCCGGGATTGAACCACATAGGGCCTTGAAAATAATGACTCCAAAAGAAAAGTGTATTAAGCACCAGAATCTAAAATCACATTCAGAAATCTTTAAAGGGGTCATATGATGCTGCTAAAAAGAACATTATTTTGTGTATTTGGTGTAATGAAATGTTTATGCGGTTTAAAGTAAAAAAAAAAAAAACCACATTATTCTCCACATACTGTACATTATTGTTTCTCCTCTATGCCCCGCCTTTCTGAAACGCGTCGATTTTTACGAAGCTCATCGGTCTGAAAAAGCGAGGTGTGCTGTGATTGGCCAGCTATCCAGTGCGTTGTGATTGGCCGAATACCTCAAGCGTGTGACGGAAATGTTACGCCCCTCACATACTGCTGATGCCGTGTCCCGGCCGGAGCGACGAGACAAAAACATTAAAACCCATTACAAACGAAGCATTTGTTGCATCCAGTGGGGACATAATTACGGATTATAATGACTTATACTGTATTTTTACGCGTTGCGTTGCATTGCATCGTGCCGCGTAAACATAAAACTCTGTCTGCATTTGTGATCAGAGAAATGACAAACAAGTGCTACTCTACTGCCCAAAACTCGTGTTTGAATAAAGGAAAACTTGAAATCGCATCATATGACCTCTTTAATACTTCTTCAGTTACAGGCATGCAAACTTTGGAAAAAGAATACTATGGCACTCGGACAGGTCTGTTCAGTGCACTTTTTTTGACTAGTTTTAACAATATTTGTTCTCCAGACCTTCCCCTTTAAAAAAAAAAAAAAGTATTAGCTGAGTGCAGTGACCCACATTTGGTTTTTGACCACAATTTACTTCTGGAGCCATATTTAGATCCCAATATCTCTGGAACTGAACCATATAAGGCCTTAAAAATTAAGATGCCAAAAGGAATGTTTGTTGAGACCGAAAGTCTAAAAGGGCATTAATATATCTTTAATACTTCTTGAGTTACAGGCATGCAAACTTTGGAGAAAGAAAACTTGAAAAGTGCTTTTTCACATTTTTCAGTGGTCACCACTGGCATATACTGCAACAAAGATTGCGAAAGTCAACAGATTTTACTAATAGACATATCAATCTCTGTGTAAAAATATAATGATGCTGCAATCTTTCTAAAGTCATTTTTACCCTCCTGTAATTTGGCTCCGAATCTCAGGTGAAAATTGCCATTTTGACCACCCTCTAAAAAATAGTGGGTTACTCAGTAAATATACATCCATGACATTTAATATTTTGGCTTTAATCACTATACGTGTTTATCTTTCTTCCGAAAAAATATTGACAAAATCAAAAATCTTAGCCAGAGGAGACATAAGGAGATATGTGTGAGTGACTTTATTGTGCCAAAAAGCCAAGTTTACTTTTGTAAGCGCTGGTGAGAATGTGACCTTTTACTGCTCTCAACACTCCTTTAGCTCTACTGATATGTCGCTGACTGTGTGTGTGTGTAACAACTCAGGTTTCGGTCCTGTAAATGTATCCTCTATTGCGTAAAGTGCTTTCATTCCCGCCTCCTTGGTTGAATCTAATCGTTCCAGAATTAATGGAGTTCTGTCCATTTGTACGGATGTTGGTTTAAGCCATTGCGGCACATCAAAAACACAAAACCCAGCTATGTTCAACTGCAGGATTGTGTAACAGGATGAACTACTGTGGTAACCTGAACCAAATGAAAAGCATTATGGGAAATGTGCCCATTAATTTCATTCATAATGGCATGGGTGTGTATCTGTTCTGTTTCTTCACAGCTCCATCTTGTTCACTGGAACTCTGACAAGTACAGTTTGTTTGAGGAGGCTGTTATTGAGGATAATGGACTAGCTGTTATTGCAGTCTTTCTGAAGGTACTGATGTAATTATTATCAAACATCTTTAAGCTTAGTAGACTTTGAAAAAACAAATAAAATGTACATTTTAACATTACATTTGCTATTACATAGATTGGAAAGAGACACGAGGGTCTGCAGAAACTGGTGGGTGCCTTGCCTGCAGTCAGGCACAAGGTAAGGCATCAAACATTATGTTTTGTACACACTGAGCTTCGGCATTGTTGTGAGTTATAAACTGAGATTAAGAACCTCAGAGTATGATGCTTTGGAAACAGTGGGATCAGGGATAAACTTGTTGCATACATGTAATATCCTCATCCTTTTCCACCCAGGATAGCGTGGTAGAGTTCACCAAGTTCGACCCTGCACATCTCCTCCCGGAAAACATTGATGACTATTGGACATACGCAGGTTCTCTGACCACTCCTCCTCTTACTGAGGCGGTGACATGGATTGTGATGAAACAGCACATTGAAGTCAGTCATGATCAGGTAGGAGGCTGATATGTTTGGGGAATGTAAGACAGGAAATTAGGGGGTATTTTTTCCCCTCACAGCAAATTTAAAGGTACAAGTGGTCAACTGATTGTATTAGAATAGCTTAGCTAGAAAAACATAATCTTATGCAAATTAAAGTAATTGTATCATATAAATGACTTAAGTGTGTGCTGTGGTGCAGATTTAATACTTAATAATATTATTAATTTATATTTATTTTTTTCCCTGTATTCAACTGACCTACAGTATAGGCCATTTGATTGGTTCTGAAACGGGGACAATGTCACTTTTTCTTCTCGTTTCGGTTGGCTTTCACAAGACAACATTTTAAAGCACCAGGTGTGAAATCGACCTAAAATGGTCATAATTTAGTTCTTCTTAAAATCGCTATTAGATTGTAAAATGATCCCAAAACAGTCCATTGTAAAATGTTTTGCAAAAACTTAAGATCACACTGAAGTGATCAAGGATGTGTAATAAGCTGCTAATTCCTAACAGTGGTAGTTTATAAGACATGCAGAGCGGTAGTTTGATTGCATTTAATAGTTGTTAGTTTTCCTGGTGTTTAGGAATAATAGTACATATTTTGCTTGACATCAAAAAGCTGTGGAAGTTCAGAACAAGTTTTTTTTTTTTTTTTTTTTGAGGGTTTTTTTTAAGAGAATTTTGGGGGACAATTCTGCTTGATTATGATGAAAATGACACTCCATTAACACTCAATTTTCACTATGCAAATATTTTCTTATTAATTTCTTAGTTTTTCTTTACATTTTAAAGTGAAGTGTGACCTGGACATTTCTTCATGGGATTTACCTTTCTCCACTTTACACTTTGGTTTAGGAATAACTGAGAAATCAGAGTGTTTGTGTGCGTTTATGCTTCACTCTACTTGGAAGTGTGTTTTATTCCAGCCATCCTTGGTCAGGGCATTTCTCAGCTCCTTATAGCTCCAAACCGTCTGTAGTACATGGGAAGCAGCTTTGGTTTCCCTTGCCGACTGGCTGCAATGCATAAACATGGAGGGAAAGTCATAATTTAGTTCTTCTTAAAATCGCTATTAGATTGTAAAATGATCCCAAAACAGTCCATTGTAAAATGTTTTGCAAAAACTTAAGATCACACTGAAGTGATCAAGGATGTGTAATAAGCTGCTAATTCCTAACAGTGGTAGTTTATAAGACATGCAGAGCGGTAGTTTGATTGCATTTAATAGTTGTTAGTTTTCCTGGTGTTTAGGAATAATAGTACATATTTTGCTTGACATCAAAAAGCTGTGGAAGTTCAGAACAAGTTTTTTTTTTTTTTTTTTTGGCAGCTTACTTTCAATACTAAGAGAATGCTAAGAATTGAGTTCTGAATATATATGACCCCTTTAAATACAGCTGATGAAAGCCATAATTTTAGGCTTTGAGACACCCCTCAAACTGGCTATTTTAACTCTGCTGGGAGTCTGATTGTTATTCCAACTTCATGCTCCATGGTAACCTGGGAAATGGAACGGAAAAGCTCATCTGGCTGACTGCTGACATCAGTTTTCTCTGTTCTCTCCATTTTTACATACAATTTTCCTTTTATTATTTGCTCTCATTCTAAATAAATTTATTTGAATGTGTTCCCTATTTTTACATATTCTCTATCATTCTTTTTTGGCTTTTTCTCAGTTGGCAGTGTTTCGAAGCTTGCTGTTCACATCGGCAGAGGAGCAGTTGCAGAGAAGTATGGTCAACAACTTCCGCGTTCAGCAGGTTTTGAAGGGACGGACTGTCCGCTCTTCTTTTACCCCCTTCCTCCAAGATGCTCCCCCAATGATGTAGCAACAAAACTCAGTGACCTAATTCACATCCTAACCTCCAAAACAAGCACAGACTCATCAGTCACTTTTTATTACGGAGAGCTGATGAAGGTCTTAACTGGATTTTGTCAAATGTTTTCACCATTTCCAACCAGGCATTTTGGTATAGATTGGAGAGATTCTATTGAAAGGGATTAACAAAGATATAGTTTAGTTATTGAAGGGCCTGTTTACCCTCTGACAAAAGATTCATTCATTGTCATTTCGGTGTTTGTACAAGTATTGAAAATAATGCTAGAATTCAGGTAATTCTAATTTCCTTATGAAACGCATTTCCTCTCAATATAGTGGCAAAGGGTGTCCACGTTTGTGGACAAACAGCTCCCTCTTGTGGATAACTGACAGAATGTAAATGGGGGGGGGGTTCAGTAGTTTTAGTTTAGTGGTACACTTACCTTGTTTGCTGCGAGGGAATTTACTGTATGCATGAAACTGCACAATGCCTTTCATTTTTTATTGGATTTTAGATGTTAAATAATTTTACGTAATTTCAGTAGAGAGAAAATTTGAAATATTTTAAGACTACATTTGAGTATTGCAGTATAAATAAGACTAGAAATATAGTCTTTTTGAAAGGTGCACTAGACATTTAGAGGTGTGAAAGGAAGAGTAATGCGCACAACTGTTTAGTGAAGATGCATTACTGTACTTGCTGTGTACATCAGATTTGTATAGAATAGGTTATCATCCCTAGTGCCTTTTTCCATTGTAATCGGTTATCTGATCAACTGCACAAGTGGTTGGCCATAATTGCCTTCTGGCAAAACATGTGCCTCCAGTACAAATCTCTTACAGTCTTTGTTGTTCTCTCATCCTTTAAGCTCATGGTTGTAATTGTTCATCTGTGGATATTTAAAGTGTATTTAGTGTTAGTGATTAAAAATAATAATAACAGAGAAACTGTGTTTAGTCTCTGTGTAAGAATGTCTTGTAAAATGAACCATGTGCCATGTAACCAGAGGCGCTGGTCTCTTTGTGATGGCTGAATAACAATGTTATTGTATAAACTGTCCCTAAAGTGGCCTCTTGTTTGAATGGGCCACCTGCATTTTCTCCCTATTGGGTCCATGGATGAAATTCAGAGTGATACAAACTAGACTGGAAAGCTGGATTTGCACTGTACAAACAATAGGTTACAGTGAGACCAGGATCCATTCCCTACACCTGCCCAAGTCTTTCGCTACTCTCAGAGTAGTGAGCATTCCTTCACATCAGGAGGCCCTGGAACAATGTTTTCTCATTGAAGCAGAGTTGAGTAGCATGTGAAAACACCTTTTGTTGTTTGAATTTGAATTATGCAGTGGATGAATTATAGTTTGAGGTTTTGTGACATTCTGACTCTTTTTGCTGTAATGGGTTGGCATGAGGGACATGGATTTGTATTTTTTCCCCTACACACACTTTTGGTGGGATTTGCCTTTGTTTTGTTCTTTTTAAGTAGCTTAAGGCCTTCCACGTTTAAAGGAAATCAACAATCACCATTTAACACGAAAACTAGTTTTGTTTTATAGGCAGCCCCTTCTTTCACTTATCATCTTAAGTCATTTTCATAACTGTCACTTATGCTGCCTATTATCAATTTTATGATGCAAATTTATGCAAAACTTTCATATAATTTCTTTGTTGTATTGTGTGTAAAAATGTTGTATTTTTTCATTTGTTTCATGGGATATTGTAGGAAACTGGTCTTTTTTTTTTTTTTTTTTTTTTTTTTTTTTTTGTAATAAGAGTTCACGAATCAGTTTCAGTTTCCTTAATGAGATGGAAGGAAGATAAAATTACAGCTAATTTTTGGTTTGCAGTCCAGGTAACTTTATAATCTTCCTTAAGTCATTTTATAGAGAACACAAGATATCACTCGTCCAGTTCTGTTAGCATACCGGTCAAAAATAAATTCAGAGAAAAATAACAGTGCCAAAGACAATACCACAATCAAACATATGAATGTGATGAAATTCCCAGGTAACACCAATGTACAAAGAAAGGCTTTGTGAATACACTTTTTGAAAATTCTGTCATCATTTACTCAACCTCATGCCATTCTAAACCTGTATTTCTTTCTTTCTTCAGTGGAACCCAAAAGGCAAATTTTTAGGTGAATATCCTTACTTTTTCATAATGAAATTAAATAATAATTGGGACTGTCAATGTCTGCAATGACAAAAAAAATAGCCATAAAAGTATAATAAAGGTCTTAGCTTTACGTTAGGACCTGACTGAAATTTAGTAATTATTCTTCAATAATGCATCCTGTTCCACAGAAGAAATCAATTAATGTGGGTTTTGAATGAGCAAATGGTGTGGTTTTTTTTTTTTTTTTTTTTTTTTGGTTGATTTAGTTTTGTTTTACTTTGGGGTGGACACAAGCATGTGCCCTAGGGATTTAAGCAGGAAGAGGGTGGTGCCGGATGTTTATGGAGGCCCCATCCCAGCAAGTGTTGTTTCACCAGGTGCTGGTTAGGTCCGGATCAGCTGCACTAAAAAGTGCATGTTTTGACAGACTTAGCAAAGGGGGAGCCTACAGACCCAGAGGTGAACATCAACAACTGCACAATGTAACTACTCATTCATGCTGTCTGACATGTGTATTAACATTTGAATGTGTAAAAAATAAAAATAAAACTATCTTGGATGGGTGACTGTGAAATCACTTTTACTTTATATTTAAATCCTTAATTGAGATTGAATGTAACCTTAATTATGTAGTTATATAATATAACATTATATAGTTATATGTATTATATTTTAAGTGCAGAATTGCACTGTGAAGTGAAAGGTTAAAAAAAAAACTTTAGGGGATGACTTTTTTTTTTTAAATTTTACATTGCAAACGTTGACCGGTACCTTTTTTAGCACCGTTAACTTGTCAAAGATGTTTTGAGTACTAATTTTTGATAACGATGGCTGATATCTATTGCTCTTCTCTAAGAGTAAAGAAGATTCCAGGCAATAAACCTGAAACAGTGGAGAGCAAGTTCAGTAGGCGCTAGACAGCACCTTAAAAGACAAGAGTCAGAGAATAAGGCCAGGGTGTGGGTGTTTGGAAGGGCTGGGGAACCTGGATTGAGTTTTGTCTCAAACTTGGTTCAAAAAGATTCCGTTCCATGTTTGTTGTTCTTGGCTGCACGAGTTATAAAAATGGGATGAGACACTGGGTTTTTGCGTATCCCAAACACCATGGTTTCCCATCATTGTGTGAGAGCATTTGGGAAAATGCTCTTTGAGCTCAACAGGAAAAACAAACTAGGTGAACTGATTAAAAGCGCAGCAGATCAAGACTTCTTTGAAAAACCCTGGAGATGGTCGCAGTTGTGAATGATCAATAAAAAGTTATGCAACTGTGGAGTATCTCAAGGGATGGTGGACGCTGTTGTCTTCTGATAATCAGCTTTACTAATTGAATAGAAGTCAGATGAAAGCTGCTAATATCAGGCTCCTTCCTCGACTATGGTTTTGTTCTACAATGTTTTTTCAGGTTATTTTTAGACAACGAAAACTCCATTGAATCCTATTTGCTTTCTATAAACAGGAACCTATGGCTTAAAGATGTTTCTCAGAACTCCAATCCAGTTGCTTTCCTCTTTAGATCAAACAATTGTTAGTTGAATTGGAAAAAAAATGTACATTAAATCTTGGCCAAAACCTGACAGGCCCTCCAAAGTTTAACTTACATAGGAAAGCTGATTGTTACCGACTTTTAATGATAACCAGCCTTTGTGGTACAAGGGAACTGAGACACCCACACCCCTCTCTCCTGTTGAGAAAGAAAACTGAACTCTTAAATATCAGGGCAAAACACAGCAGCAACAAAATGACTTATGAAATAAAAAGACACCTGCTGTCTCATTTATCTTTAAGCTGAGCAAACATACACCATAAATACATTAAAAATGTCTAAATGAGAGCACAAGTGCAAAGCGAATGCAGGTGGCAGCAACACATTTTTTGTAAAACATACCTTGATGCCTTTAAATTAAACGCAACCCTAGGTCATGACGTTCGTAAGTATTAGTACAACACACTTCCCCCCTGCAGATTATACTCTCCAGGTCTTCAGAGATTGATACCTTCTAGGCATGTGGCATGTAAGTCTTTCTCTTTGAAACACAAAAGGTTTTGGATGAAATTTAAGTTGTTGTTTTGTTTCATTTGAGAACCAATATCTTTAAAGCCCACAGGGAATGTGACATTTGTGATGTTTCAAGGGCCTTTACCTGAAAACAGGAAATTAGCAGGGACAACTTTGTTATTTTTAATATGTTTCTTCAGACATTTTGATCAAAGGAATTTGAGTCTAAAGAATTTTCAAGAGCTGAAATGACAAGTTATGGTAATTCACGTCTAGCCAAGGATTATAGTCTGAATATTTAAAATAGAAAATTTAAGACTAATTAGAAAAACTCATCATCTAGAGGTTGTTTCCCACAGTTCATGGTAGAATGGTGGAACTGCAGGGGGTTTGTAAGATTGTGCTAGAAAAGCTAACGCCAAATTAAATAAAAAATGTGTAAAATTAAATCATCAACCAAAATATTCCAACTGACTGTATAGCTACCTGTAATTTTGGCAAATAATGTAAAAAATGAGTAAAAAACACTAAACTATTAAACAATTAATAATAAATAAACCTATTTAAGCCTTTTAGAATATTTTAGTAATGCTTGTTCTATAGCGATCAAAGTATAGTTTTTCATACTATTTAAAATAATTTTATCAACAGAAATAATTTACCATATTGATGCCATATAAGCATGTAGCCCTACACTGTAAAAATGTAAAAAGCATTGTGAGCATTTGCAGCGCGTTTCTGTTTTTGCAGCGCATTTCTTTATTTGGTTGTGTTATGAGCATTTGCTTTTTATTTATTTATTTATTATTTTTTTTATTGTGTGTTGTCAGATTGATGAAGATGTTTTCTTAATTTGCAGGTGTTTTTTCTATTTGCAGCGCGTTGAGCTCTCTCGTCACCGTACTTATGGCTTCAACCGAAACTGAACAATTAGGAAAAGCCTTGATCCAACGTAGTAGCCTATACAACTTGCTCAACCTGCTGGACCGCCCAGTAACAGCGATTTCTTTCAGGAAGGGAGACTCTAGAGGGCGATATAAACCTCAAATATAACACTTAATGATGACGCGGAGGAAAGAGGCAGGCCGAGTCAGGAGATGCTTTTGTGTGCCTCTAACGTTGACACACTTCAGAAACCACGTTTCTGTGAGTCAGAGCGGACTCTACGGTACCACCGTGTATCAGCCAAGCCCAGTCCGAGGGAGCTGAACGGGTAATTTTCACACATAATAGAGAAAAACAAAGCGTCTGGCTTTGTTTGACAAGAGAAAGCAATGTCAGGGTTGAAGAAACGGAGTTCAAATGCATCTGCGGACCGGGATGAAGACGACAAGCAGGTGACGGAGAAGATGCTCTCCAGTAGAGGTGGGAATGGCAACATGAGCCGACTAGGAGACGGCACGCCTGAAAGCCCGACCGCAGATATTACCTCTGCGGATGGAGAAGAGACAGTAGAGCTGAAAAGAACTATTACTCTTGTGAACGGCGTGGCCATTATTGTAGGCACCATTATTGGCTCTGGCATCTTCGTTACACCGACGGGAGTGGTGAAAGAAGCCGGTTCAGTCGGGCTGTCGCTGGTCGTGTGGACTGTATGCGGGGTCTTCTCCACCATAGGCGCTCTGTGCTATGCCGAACTGGGGACCACCATCACCAAATCTGGGGGTGACTACGCTTACATCCTTGAAGTTTACGGCTCCCTACCTGCGTTTCTGAAACTCTGGATCGAGCTTCTCATCATCAGGCCGTCCTCGCAGTATATTGTCGCCTATGTTTTCGCTACCTACCTCCTGAAGCCCATCTTTCCCT